CCCCCCACCCTGGAGCTGCCCCCGAGGTGAGCCTGGTGCCGGGGCGGGCTATTTGAAGCCCAGCAGCCGGACACCTGCCTTCACCTTCTGGGCCTTCCAGCGCAGCAGGCGGATGGCGCGCAGGCTGAGCCGCAGCACCGCGCCGGACCTGATGTAGAAGGCGGCGGTGACCAGGGCGCCGCTGGGGTCCGCGTGCTTCAGCGCAGCCAGCGGGGTGTAGGCCACGTTGGTCTGGTGCCGGAAGGGCGGCCGGGCCGCCTCGATCACCCGCAGCGTGTGCTGCACGTGGGGACACCACTGTCCCTTCCCTGGCCCATCCCCTTTCCATCCAGTCTCCATCCAATCCTATCCACAACCACATTCCCATCCCATCCCAGCCCCTTCCCATCCTATCCCTATCTCTATCCCCATTCCCATCCCATTTAATCTCCTTCCCATCCCCAACCCCTTCCCATCCCCAACCCTTTCCTATCCCATCTCTGATCCATCCCATTCCAACTCCTTCTCAACCCCTTCCCATCCCCAACTCCTTCCTATCCCATCTCTGTCCCATCCCCATCCCTATTCCCAACTTGGCTCAGCTCCATCAGGGTGGAGCTTGGGGGAAAGGAGCTGATGGCTTCAGCCCCCTCCCCACTGCAGGCCAGGGCTTCCTGCTTCTCATTAGGGCTAATTGAGGCTTCCCCAGACAGCCCAGCCAGGGGCTGCCGGAGGGTTGGGGCAGTTTGAAAGGGGACAGACCCAGACCAGAGGGGGCCACCCGCCTGCTCGTCACCTCTGCAATGTCCTCGGGGGTCTGGCCCAGGCTGGCAAAGACGTCCCTGGAGTTCCTCAGGTAGAGGTTGGTGAAGATCTCAGCTGTCTCAGGGTCGGTCCGTGAGTAGTCGGCACGTTCAGCTTCCTCGTACAGCTTCGTTTCAAACTCTGTCACCACTGGCCCTGGCTCCACCAGGCTGATCCTGCCCAGGGATGGGGCGCTGGGGACCCTGGGCCCCCCAGAGCCCCTGCCCCCCCCGCCCCCAGCCCCCGGCACTCACGCCACGTTGAAGCGCAGCGCCTGCACCACCAGGCTCTCACAGAAACCCTCCACCGCGAACTTGGAGGCCGCGTAGATGTCATTGAAGACGATGCCTGGATGGGCGGGGAGGTCCCAATCAGGGCTGGGCGCGGGGGGGGGTTCTGGTCCCACTGGGGTACCCCATTCACCCCTACCCTGCAGGCCCATGATGCTGCTGATGACAACGATGTGGCCCCCGCGGCGGCGCTTCATGTCGGGCAGCACCTCCTTGACCAGGCGGACCAGGCCGAAGAAGTTGGTGTCCATGAGGTTCTTCATGGCCTCCAGGCTCTGGCACTCCAGGGGACCCGCCATCCCCACCCCAGCGTTGCTGACTGTGGGCACGGGGCATCAGGGGGACCACCCCTGCACAGGGGGGTCCTGTGCCCAGTGCTTGGAGGGTGCCCAGCATGGGGTGGCCTGGCTGTGGAGGGTCCCTGACACATGGGGACTTCCCAGCACAGAGGGTCCCTGGTGTAGGATGGCATGGAGGGTCTCTGGCACATGGGACCGGGTGTTCCCTTACACATGAGGTGTCCCTGGCACAGTGTCCCCAGCACTGTGTGCACAGGGTGTCTCCAGCATGGGACGTGCTTGGCAGTGCAGGGTTCACCCCTGCTGCACTTGGTGACCCCAGCATAGGGTGTCCCCAGCTCGGAGGATCCCTGGCAGAGGGCACCGAGGGCCGTCGAGAGGGGGTTACTGGGGCTCACCCAGGACATGAACGTGGCGCCCGGGGATGCTGTCGAGGCAGGCGCGGATGGAGGCCTCGTCACACACGTCCAGCTTCTTGATCTCCAGCGTCCGGCCCAGCGCCGGCCCCGCTGCCGCCGCCAGCGCCCCGCTCCTGCCCACGTTCCTCATGGTGGCAATGACTGGGGGCAGAGGGGGCTCAGCCCGGCACACCCGGCAGGGGGTGTCTCCCCTGGGAATGGGGGGGGGTTCCCCCACCCCACTCACCTCGGAAGCGGCGCTGCTTGTCCCGCGCCAGCCGGACGGCCAAGGCCAGCCCGATCCCGGAGGAGCAGCCGGGGATCACAACTGTCTT